AAGGTTCCAAACAATGCATTGATTATAAAACGAATTTTTAGATTGAATTTCTTAAATAGCCTGAGGTCCAGATGAGGATGGTCATTTGTCTAAATTACAGACTTAATCAATATACATTCTGCATCTGTTTCACAAGTTATTAGAGCTGTCTGCTGAACACTGAGCCACAGAGGTTATATTTCAGATTGCTCAATTTATCCAAGAATTCTGTTAGTGCAGCACCTGGACTGTTTGGTTTTATGCACATATACAGTCAGTTATCAGATGTAGATGCCCACATTGATGGAATCTTAGCATGGCTGATGTTGGGAGGGGCCTCTGGAGGCCATCTGGTCCAACCCCCTCCTCAGCGCTTCTGTCCAGGAGGGATGCTCGGTCTCCTCATCATCTCTGGACTCCCTCCAGTAACTCCATGTCTGGTGCTGAGATCCCCCTCGCGCACTGGGATCTCTCTCTTATGCTGTAAATTCTTCAGCTTGTGTTTCACACATGTAGGAAGTAACCTCCATCATTTTTAGAAACATCCCTGGGTAATTCAGGTTGGGAAATTAAGCCACATTTGACAGTGAACTCTGTCAGTCTACCAAGACAGTAATCGAATCACTCTTTTTAGTTTACAAATGTAGATGGCAATTACTCCCCACAGCCCAAAAGTTGCATCTTTATTTATGCATGTATGGGTAAACAAAACCAATTTTTTTCAAATGTGTGATAATCTCCTTAGCAACAAGAGGAGGTCCAGAAATACATGTGAGAAAACGAAGCTGTTAAATCCTGGTTAAGCATATGAATGACTCTGATGATTATGTATTTAAATTTAAGCAAATACTTAAATTACTCAGTTAGGGTAAGCATCTGTCATTGCTCTTCTGTTTTCCTTCCCTAAGATGTCAAAAATTTTGGAAAAATTATTATACTTGCATGGAGATGGATTCCTGATCAGAATACAGCCATATTTTGAACTCTTAGGAGAGATTAGGAATATTTTTAATTTTTTAAAGCCAGGCAGAAAGCCAAAGGGGACAAATGGAGTGCAACTCACATGAAAATTCCTGAATACAGCTGGAACAACTCTGCAAAACCATCCTAAAATGGTTCCATAAAACATTATGAGAATTCATCCTCATATGTATAAAGAAACCAAAGGAGTTTTTGCTTGAACTGAATTTTTTTTACTGCAGGATGGCTGAAAAACATGGCTGGAAAAGCATTTTTGTCCTGCATTAATCTGAGGAACACTTGGCTTACTAAAAAGATATTATCATCTATATTTCCAATCTGTGGTCACAGAAAGAACTTTGAAACTGAGTAAGGACTTCAGATTATGGCCCAGGGTGGTAAATATAAGCAAGTATTATTTATAGTTCTTACTGGTGGACTTATTTTCATACTAGTACTACTGCTCAGTACTGTTTTGCAGGTAATTTTAAAACATGACTAAGAAAAAAGGATGCATTTTGGTATAATTAGTCAAGATTTAGACTTTTTCTTTTGCTGCAGGCTGCTGAAGAATTGAATTGCTGTCTCTTTGTGCATCCCTGGGACATGCAGATAGATGGGAGGATGTCCAAATATTGGTTTCCCTGGCTAATAGGTAAGTGTATATTTACTTTGCTTAGCCTAAATTTATGAACTGGATTATGCTCAGCAGATTGTTGCAAAGTACTAGTACAGATAAAAAATGGATTTTCTATCAAACCTTTTTTTTAATCAGGTAGTATGGTGAAGTCTGTTGTGTAAATTCAGCAGTCACTTGGTTTTAAGCTTGTTCAGTTTGTCTAACTTTTAAATACTTAGAATTAAAATTATTCAGCTTTGCAACATAACATTGTATATATATAGTCTTAATGAGAGCAGGCTCAACATAGATTTAAAAAGAGAATAAAATGATGGCATTTACTTAACAAAGTATAAGTAAAATATTTTCTTACAAAGACTTACAAGGCTTTGCATCTGAGCATACAGTAAAACATTAATGAAAAACAACCTTTCGAGCTGGGTAGGTATTGTTTGCACCAGAGATGAGGGGAACTCTGTTCCTAACTTTAGGCTGCATGTCTGAAGTTAGATGTTTAGATGGCATGATATTCTAAATATGTTGGGTAAGCTCAGAAACTGAGGCCTGCTGTAAGAACCTAAATTGCTGTTATGTTCCTAACACTGGCCATCCAACTCAGCCAGTGGCAAAGAGAGAGAGAGAGAGAGAGAGAGAGAGAGAGAGAGGCAAAATCGTAGGAACTGACATCGTGGCATAACTGAACCCCAAATCTCTGTTGGAATATCCACCAACACATAATAATATGGCACTGCCCTGTAACTATTATTTTTTTCAGTAAGCTCAAGGCTAATGGAAGAAAATTCAGGTAACATTCAAAAATCAAAGAGGAAATTGAAAAAGTAAGACTCTTACACAACTGAACTGATTTTGTTCCCAGGCATGCCAACAGAAACAACCATGGCCATTTGCTCCATGATTATGGGAGGAGTTTTTGAAAAATTTCCTAAGCTGAAAGTTTGCTTTGCACATGGAGGTGAGTAATGTGGCATGTGAAACTCCAGTTCTTTACTAAGCACGTTACAGCTGTATCTTCTGCTATGCCAGCTAAGGATCAAGGGTTCAAGCACTTTAAGGCTGCCACCAGCTGAGCACTATTACCCCAGATCTGTAGGATCAGCTGCTTGTATGAACGCTGTCCGGCCTGTTTCAACCACTGTTTGAACTGCTAAAATACCCTTTCAGGGAAACAAGGAAGAAAGGGAGACAGAAGATGACTTAAGGAAAGGGACAAAGAAGCAGCAGGAGGAATTTGGACATCACAGCAGTGAAGAAGTGAGGGCAATAGAAAAAGAGGTTAATGATGGGGAAGGAATTAAAAACTGCTGGTTCAGAGCACTTTCTAAATGGCTGACAGTAAAACTTGTGGGTCTTTGGTAATGATGTGGCTTTTTTTCCCCCCTCCTGCATTATTTTCAGCTGCTGTTGTTAAAAATTTCTTCTTGCAGGTGGAGCTTTTCCATACACAGTGGGGAGAATCTCCCATGGGTTCAACGTGCGCCCTGACTTGTGTGCGATGGATAACAAGGTGGATCCAAGGAAATACCTTGGCTCGTTTTACACAGACTCTCTTGTCCATGACCCAGGTGCACTAAGGCTGCTAACAAGTGTCATAGGAGAGGTGAGTGTTAATGCTTCCAGAAGAGGGTGAGGATCCTGAAGAGAACATTAAACATCACGGGTTTGCAAAAATATTTTCATTATTTGTGAAGAAATCTTTGTAGTTTAGCAGCTTCTTTAAATCAGCATGGGACAGAAAAATCCAAAAACATTCAAATAATCCTTTCTCCTTAGTAAATGCTCAGAAAGGGGTTGAAGATGGCATCATGGCCAACTTCCAATTGATCACTAGAAATCAACCTGTATTTGTGTCTTGATCTCTGGTCCTCCTGGAGTTTCTGCAGCCAGCAGGCAGACACCTACCAGATGTCAAAAGCAGAAATACAGGCCCTTACACTGACTTTCTTGTCTCAACAGCTGTAGTCCTGGTTCCTGTACATTATTTTCTAGGCTCACATAGTGTAGGGCTGGTGCTGTCATTAGGGCCTCTTGTACGACCAAACCTCACAAAGACCGCTCAACCAAATGGTTTTTTTTCTACAGAAAAGATTCTGTTGATTTCCCATTTCCATCTTTAACAGGCTGAGCAGGTTCCTGCAGTAAATCTGCACTAGAACTGCTACAGAAGTGACCTGCCTAGGCCAGCCACAGTTAATAATGCAGCACTATTGCTTCCTTTATTGTGGTACTCTGAGCTCAGGTTTGAAATCCAGGGGTTTCAATCCATGAAATCCAAAGCTCACACTTTGAAATCCAGGGGTTTTCTCTTCATGCTGCACAGGAAATCTGTAGCTTTGAGACTGGAATTCTGCCTGCAGCTCCCCTGCAGTACTTGTGACTTTCAGGAGAGCTTTGCATTTGAAGATCCATGAAAAACTCCACAATGTGGCAGCAAAACTGCAGATTGAAACAACACTACCGGAAGTTTTTGTGAGGTGTATATGTATGTATGCATACAGTAACACTACAGCTCCAAGCAGAGGAGACACAGTATCTTTTTTCTTAAATCCACCATGAGCCAAAAATAGATTTATTGAAGGAGCCCCAAAAAACGTGCAAAGAAACTACCGTGGAGCCTACTGCCATTAGAAACAAGTAACCCAGGTCAGTTTACTTGTCAAAAGATCTGCTAATAAGCTGTTAGCATTGGAAAGTTCCTGTGACATCAGTGGGTATTAACTCGGGTGGCATTTGCCATCTCTGTGTCAGAGGTGAAGTTTTAGGCTCCAAATGGGTCACTAACAAGATATTAGGGCCCAATACTGATTTCTTGTAATTTCTATTACAAACCTCTAAATAGCAAATCTATCATGGTCAACAGCCCAGGACTTTTTGCTATGCATTGCCTTTTTAATTTAAGTGTGGCTTAGAGTAATCAAGTGGCCTCAAGGTGTTTTGGTGATAGATTTAAAAATTTTACTGGGTGTGATGTGCACGTCCATTTTACAAGATATCCAAAGGCTTACAGAGTGACAGTTCAGCACTTGCCTCTGTTCTTCCTTTTCTGAGAAATTCCCCCAAATCCAGACCACATTCATCCAAATATTTGTTCTGTGTGCAGTTATGGTACACAGGGATGAGTACAGCTCTTGAATTTTAAACTGCCAGCACAAGGAGAAAAGATCACTGGCTTATCTCTTTTATCCACTTTAAAATGTTGGGAGCCATGTTTTCCCATTGTTCCACAGACCTTGGTAAATCAGCAGCTGTGTGACTCAGCGTGGCTGAGTATTCTGAGCTCAAGCAATGAGACATCAGGTGGAACCCTAGTGCTGGAAAGTTATGAGTCAGATACACAAAACATAAATGCTTTTTAACACTCAGGAGAACTTTCTCTTTTTCATAGCCTAGAGCATCTTATCCTTGAAAAAAGCCCAAACATTCACAGCACATTTCAAACTTTATAACCATGAAGATTAAAGTTACCTGTTTTTCTAGTCAAAGTTGATATTCTCACATAATATCCTTGCATGAGTCAAACGCTTAAAGAAACACCAAATATCTCCGTGCTTTCAGTGCAGCCGTGTGTTGGCAGGATAACACATGTAAGATTAATAAATTCTGGGCTAAAAAACAATGTGATTGAGTCTGAGGATGACACTGTAACTTTGTGAGCTGAAGGTTTGAACTAGGACAGCTCTCCAGAGGATGGCTGAGAGCTGTGCAGGAAGGAGTCGTGCTTAGACACGGCTCTGGGTCCTCAGGGAGCAGCCACTACCTGGCACCGGAATGTAACGCCTTGGCTTTGAGCTGATGAATATTAAAACCCAGTGACAGCTGTGGTGAGTCATGGACAGTGAAGTTCATTCCTTCCTCCTTTTGGGTGCAGGTTAATTGGAGCCCATCCCAGCTAAAGAAAGCAGAAATACACATTTCTGGGAGTTTTGTGAGGCTGCAAAATTGCCACGCTCCTTCATTCCCCTCGTGATGAGGTGGCGTGAGGTGAACACAAACAAACACAAAATCCCTGATGATGCTGGCCATGAAAAGGGAAGAGCTGGCTTGACATGGGATTAAATGATTCAGTGTAGCCCTGCAAAAACTTCCCCATGCTGATTCCTCAAGAGCCATCACCCAAAGGCAAAACGTTCTCTGGCCAGAGGTTGGAGCTGAACTGGTTGTAGCAATAGGGCCTTTTTTTTGAGGTATATTCTGATAGTAGGAAAGAAGGTGAAATTCAAGGCAATTTTCACTAATATGAGAGGGCAAACTCATGCTTAAGGTGAACCAACTTGGAGGTTCATTTTCAGATTCAGGTCCCTATTACTGTGAAAAAAAAGAGTCCACTGAGGTTAATGAATCAAACACTTTCAAATGGAGGAAAAGAAAAATGTATCTCTATATAGAGGAAAAGAAAAATATATATCTATTATAGAGGAAAAGAACAATATATATTATTCCAATGAGGTTGTGGGATTTCTTTCTGGATTTGTATATAGGAGGTGTAAACAAGGATGTCCAAACCTTCCTGCCTTACTTAGCCTTGCCTAGTAAATAACTGGGCAAATTCTGCATCTCCTTCTCCTTTACTTAGAAATCCATTTTCTCATATAAACCTGATATGTTTATTAGTTGGGGGGTTTTGTAGATGGTATATATTTTTTTTTCCGGTCTGAATCAAATGTCTTGGTATTTAATTGAATATTATAAATAAGAGAATATATTTAGATGCTTAAAAGTACATACTCTAAATACGTTTTTTTCATCTACACTCAGAAATTGATTTATTAGACAGGGGGTATAAATTCTCCCCATATTCATCTTATAGCAGATCTTCCATAATAAATTATAACACATCAATATAGGACAGAACAATAGAATGTGTCTCTTCTGGTTGGATTTTGGGTAAAGGTTTGTGTAGGTTCTTCCAGAGACTCTTGGCTGACATCTGCTGGAAGTTAAAAAATTTAAAAAAAAAAAAAAGAAAGCATTTGGCAACTAGGAAAAACAAAGCATTTCAAAAATTGACTGAATGATGTTTTCTTCATCATATGTCATTATTGGTAACAGAGTTCAAACATTATAAAAAGTGTCCTAAATTTATCAGCTTGACTTCAAATTCATGACACATTTCAAAACATCTATTTTTAATGAAAACTGTGGGTTTCAAATATTCATGTCTTCAGGAGATGAAACTTAAAGCAAAACAGACTTTTAATAAAATCAGGAGAGTTGGCAGCGTGCGCTCCCCAAGGCAGAGAAAATGGGCAAATACCACTCCAGGGGGAAAGTGAGCCCATGGGAACGTGGCCCTGCCAAGGATGTGCCTATTTCTTTTCATCTCTGACAACAGGAACGCTGCACACAGATTTTTATTGGATTTTCTTTTCATAGACTCTCTTTCAGAAACAAATCATATCATGTCACTCATGCTCTCAGGTACCCGTTTCAAATGCACACTTCAGTCTCAGTGAAAGACACTGACATCTGAAAAAAGTTATAGGCTTCCAGAAATATAGGAAATTTTGTAAATGAGATTTAGGTTTTGTTACCTGAAGCTGAATACTCATTTAGTGTCAGTGTTTGTAGTAATTTTACATTGTATCATACTTTAAGTAGTGTCACTTTGCCACTATTGCCATTTTTAAGGTATCACACAAAAGGTAATTTTGATTGCTTTGTATTTCTTGTTGCATGTTCTTCTCATATATATGTAATTTTAGGTTTGTGTGTGTCTATGTGTATGTAAACAAAAATTTCACATTCAGGCAAATCCAAGCATATTTTCTGAGTTTGGTGGAGAATTTCCTGAGATTCCTAGAGAAATGTGTCAAAAAGTCTCCTACACATTTTGCACTGCACACAGCAGTGCAGAGCACGCAGTGAGTAAGTAAAAAATCAGAAGGGAGAATTCTGTGTGCCCTTTATTAGCTATTTAATTATGGCAACACTTAAAACCAAAATTAATCATTGCATTTTGGGCAAACTACTTGCAGCAGTAGTATGAACAGTGCAGGAGAACAATAGATGCCTCTTTTGAGCCGGACTCACAGCACAGAAAATCAGTTTGAGTAGGAAATTCCTATTTGTCTTTTATTCACCCGAGCAACAAACAGTCGTGCCATGGGCCTGGAATTGGCTTTTTGAACTTTCTGTGTATATCAGAATAAAAACACCCCAAACTTCACTTAGATAACACAAAAATGATTAACAAGTAACCCGGAATTTTTTCAAACTTAAATTCACCCAATAAAATCCTGAGTTGTTGTTTTCAAGCTTTGTTCTTTCCCCACTGGAAATTATTATCTTTATGTTCACTTTCATAACTAATCAGTCCAATACATACACATCATTTCCTGTGGTTTATTATAAATTCCAGAAGGCAACTCTATTGTTCAATGTTACAACTTTTTTTTACTACCAGGACAAAGTCATTTTGGGGACAGATTACCCTTTCCCACTTGGGGAACTGGAACCTGGAAAACTGATCGATTCCATGGACGATTTTGACCATAAACTGAAGGTATGATTTTTTACATTAGAGGGGGTTCTTCCCTCTCTGGTTTGAAACTTGAGCTAGAACACTGCAAACTCAGTGTAGTACACTGATTTCTGCAGAGACTGGAACAGGCCCTTTAGTCTCCTTGCAGCAGTTCTTTTTAAAGCATAAGTAAAAGCATTTGAATTAAATATGAGTTAAGCACAAGCACAGATATGTGTTTTGTTTTTACAGGATAAACTCAAGGCTGGAAATGCTCTGGAATTTTTGGGTCTTAGCAGAAAACAATTTGAATAATTATGAAGATCCTAAAGAGGCTCAACTGTGGAAACAACGCTGGATCCTTAGGGATGCTTCTGTTGGCACACGAAATTATACAGGTGACAAGTGTCTAACACTCTCCTGTTATTTCCAAAACAAAGGCAAGGGTACTAGAAATGAGTATGCACAGGTATTGCTGTGCATTTGAGGATTTAGGCTCTTTTTAAACAATTCTGAAATCCCTGCTCTCATAATAAAGGAGAGATTTCACCTTTTGCAGTTGTAATAAGAATCTCTGAATTATGGTCCATGTCATGTTACTAGGACTTGATTCTCAGGAGAGAAAGAGCTGAGAAAATGATGTACCCGTTACATTTCGGTCTTTGTTATGAGCAATAAACAGAGTTTGAGAGAATCTTAAAACAGAATTCAAGCAGAACTTTGTTGATGCCCAATAAAAGGCAACACTTGCCTGTACCCACTGCTGGGAAGTGCATCATGCCACACTCAGCTCAGCACTGCAAGGGTGTGCACTGATGCTCTGTCAGTGCTGTGACAGGATGAGAAAGGTCTGTGTGGGGAACTTTACATTTTAGCTGCCACCTACACCACTGGCAACTTACTCATCAGAAACAATTTGGACAATACGGTTGTAGGTGCAGAAATAACGTATTTTGTGTGGGTAATACTTGGTGTGTCACTGTCACAATAAATACTAGTGTTTAGCAACAGTATGGTTTAATGTTCTATTCCTTAAAAAAATACTTCCTGAAAGTAAGGTTGGATACTTTAAATGGTGAAGTGTTATAGCTCCAACTAGTTTGAATCCTGATACAGGAATGGAAAGATGGCTTGCTCTGTATCCTATTGATTGAAATGGGCTTTCATCATTTTCCAGTGAGTGCACAGGCATCCTCCTCCCAAGAGGATTTTATATCACACAGAAAAATGTGGATGAGCACTTACAGTCTTTGTTCTCATGGGAACATTTGCTGGCTACCTGTGGTGTCACCATCCTTCTGTTTAGGCTTTAGAACACTCCAAGCAAAACAATATTAGACAGCAGTTGTTTTTAGCTCTGGCCATAACTGGCACCAGCTGAACCTGAAGGATGCTGAGTATCAGCAGTTCCTGGGACTACAAGGAGGGCTCTGTCCTTCTTTAGTGTCAAACCCAACCAAAAAAAAAAAAAAAAAAAAAAAGAGGTTTGTGCAGGTTCTTTATATTTTCCTTGAGCAGAGATTACACAGAGCCAAGGCTTTCTCTGCTCCTCAGCCCACCAGCCAGGGGGCTGGGGGTGCACAGGGAGCTGGGAGGAGACACAGCTGCCACAGCTGATCCCAGCTGAGCCAAGGGCTATCCCAAACCATATGGCATCGTGCTCAGCATGTGCTGAGGGGAGCAGGAGAAGGGGGATGATGTGTGCAGTGATGTGGAGTTTCTCTTCCCTAGTCCCCATCACCTGAGATGGAGCCTGGATTTCCTGGGGATGGCTGAACACCTGCCTGCCCACAGGGAGTGGGGAATGGATTCCTTGCTTTGCTTGGCTTGTGTGCGTGGCTTTTGCTTTACCTGTTCAGCTGTCTTTGTGTCAACCCTCAGGTTTTCTCACTTTTACCCTTCCCATTCTCTGTCCCACCCCAGGGGTGAACAAGCAGCTGCTGGGGCTGAGATGCCCTCTGAGGTTAAACCACAACTCTGAGCTCTTCCATTTGGATCTTTGCCATATTGTTCCTCCAAATACATTCCATGAAAGACTAGTGGACATCAGAAGTTGAAGTAGTCAGCAAGTCACAGGTTTAGAATACCAAGTTGTTATGTCAGACAAAAAGAAGACCTAGAAAATAACTCTTAACAATATTTATTGTCCTCAGGTTCACAAGGCTTCCATTGACCTTTTTTATTTAAATAGCCACATACAAGCATTGAGCTACTTAAATGTATGATTTTTCAATCAGATTGTTTTAATTAAATTTCAAAGTAGAAAGGCAGCTTTGTTCTTATACAATCTTATTTTCCTTCAGTGTATATGACTCTCACAGATGTTTAAATGGATTTAAAAGGAAAATACATTGTGATTCCTCCAGTACATTTTAATTGGATCAATGCTTCAATTTTTTGTGAATGAAAATAGTTAAGTTAGTGAGAATGCAATGTTACATCTTTGGGGACCAAGGTCCAAAACCTCTCCAATAGCAAGAACAGTATTTAATTACCTTAACCTGTGACTGAATGGGTGCTTGCAGCACTCTGCATGGCAATTAATGTGCATACCCTGCATAAATCATATTCATTATGCACTGTCACTATTTAATGATATTCTATTTTTTCTCAATGTGTTAAGATTTTTAAGATAGGGATATATATAATCTTCCCTACATCTTCCTTTTCTTTTCATTAACAAAGCTAATGTAAAATTCTAATGACAGCCAGATGAGAACATTCTTAATTCTCCTCCACCAACTACTGAAGGAATAATAAATGTAAGAAGGAATAATAAATGCAAGTTGAACACCCAAACTCCAAAACACAGTTTTATGCAGTGATTGAAACAATGAGGTAAAACATTGTACTTTTTTACAGGTACAAAAATAGGAAGGCAGATATCAGCTCCAAATTACAACAGGCGCTGTCACTGGTTGGGGACCTGGATTCACCTGGGAATGAGGTTGAGGCATAACAATATCTGTGTAAAAGTAACATTTGGTACCATGTTATCATTTAAGGGTGAAATAGGAATGGGCAAAAGGTTTAGAAAGTGATGTTAATTCTTTAAGGCAGCTGATGTGTAACGTGGGAGAGATTTGGACAAGTTGCTGTTCATTACAATGTGAGCATATGCATCTTCTCCAGGTGTTGGAGAATAATTGACTTGCTGGAGCTGCTGATCTGGAAATACACAGGGTATCACTAGACAGCTTCAATTCTGCCTTTTTGACACCAAATTCCTGAGAAATATTACCTGTATAAGTTAGATGCTTATATAGGTGTGTTTATCCTACGCACCATACACAAACCCATGACATGCCAGAGGCTTCTTCCAGGGCAACAAGGCTCGTGAAAGGTCCAGAAAACATGTCTGGTGAGAAAGAGCTGAGAGGGCTGGGGGTATTTAGCTTGGAGGAGGCTCAACAGGGTTTTTATTGCTCATTGCAGCTCCCTGATGGGAGGTTGTAGTGAGGGGAGGGGCTTGGTCTCTTTGCCACGCTTACAGTGAGAGAACCAGAGGAAACGGCCCGAAGCTGAGATGGGGGAGATTCAGACTAGATATCTGAAAAAATTTTTCACTGTTCAGGTTTTTTTTTTCACTGTTCAGGCATTTGAATAGGTTTCCCCAGGAGGTGGTGGAGACGTCATCTCTGGATGTGTTTAAGAGGAATCTGGCTCTGGCCTTGGTCATGTGGTTTAGTGGTTTAAGGGTTACAGCAGCAGTGCTGGGCTGAGGGTTGGACTTGAAGATCTTGAAGGTCTCTTCCATCCTTGACAATTCTATGGTTCCATGACTGTTGCTGATTTTAGAAGCTCTCTAAACACAGAGTCTAGTTTAGAAAGGAGACACCGTTTCTTCTACACAGGGTGCAAGCTGGAGGTGTCCACAAATCAAGCATACCAATTATCAAGACTTTGAACTATTCATATTTTCAGCAAATGAAGGAAATAGTATTCATTGGCTACAAGTTAGATAGTTCTCTTATAAATTAATATCCTATCTTCCACTGGTTAATGATTCTCTCTCTTCTCATGCTCATTATTCCACATGATGAGACTTTTTCTTCTTTTGGCTCAGTGGGTCTCCTGAGTCTGTGAGTTGGTGGTCACAGATCTCCCCTGCTGGAATTATCTTGTAGCCCATTGGAGATGATTTCATCCCAGTCACTGAGTTGGGTTTACCAGTTTCTTCCTTATTTTGGGAGTTCTGCCTGCTGTCCTTGTGGCCCATGAATTCCGCATTCTTTGTGCCCAGTATCAGGGGTTCATCCTTCCTCCCAAGCTTTGTTAACCCACCCCCAGGTCTGAGATCACTGAAGTCCGTCAAGCCCTAAACTTTAACAAGGCAATTCCACCAACAAGGAATTTGTTTTTCCAACACCTGGACATCAATTAGAGCTTGTTATCTTTTGTTTTGATGTCGGGGTTTAGAGATGTAAAAGGGACTGATGGTATTTGCAACATACCATGGGAACTACATATAGCTAAGCCAAGTGATTTCAAGAGACTAACCAAGCAAAATAAAAACAACGAGGAGGGGAACTGAGGCAGCCAGCCAAGCACTACCCAGTTACTGAATAACCAAGGGAATTGTCTTGAAGAAGTTCTTAAGGTGGTCACTTAGAACACTGAGAGCTCAAGACAGAGAAGACCACCAAAGACCCTTGATGAAGCCCCTCTGAGACCTTACAAGGATATGTATATGTAGTAGGTGCTGGGAAATATCATGAATATGTAACAGGAACATGAAGAAGGAAAAAGGAAAGATTGTGTAACAGTGGCATATAAACTGTATCTCAGTGTGCATTTTGGCAAAACAATGACCAACACACTCAATGTCTTGACTTCTAAAACTCACAAACGGGAGTCTTACAGGTTTGCTTTTAAGTACCACCTTTAGGCAACAGTTTCACGGGTCCTATCTCTCTTATAGTTGCTTAGGCTGGAAAGCATTTGTGGTGGGTTGACCTTGGCTGGACGCCAGGTGCCCACCCAGCTACTCTATCACTCCCCATCCCAGCTGTAAAGGGGAGGGAGAGTAAGATGGAAAAAGCCCGTGGGTTGGGATAAGGCAGTTTATTAAGGTAAAAGCAAAACGAAAGCTTGCGCGCACAAAAGTGAAGTCAAAAATAACAAGGTTTATTCTCCACTTCCTATCAGCAGCGATGTCCGGACACTTTCCTGAGAAGCAGGGCTTCAGCCAGCACCTGTAATGGTTCCTCAGCAGGCATCACTGGAGGCAGGGAATGCCTGCCCTCCCGCTCCCTGCCTTCGCTTTTATATCTGAGCTGTCGTCACACGGTATGGAACATCCCTTTGGTCCGTTTGGGTCAGCTGGCCCGGTTGGATCCCCTCCCAGGGGGAATGTCACAGCGCTGGCGCTGGCACCGGCGTGTCACCAACACCCTGCCAGC